TAAAAAAGCAATGGAGATTATCTAGTTGAGGAAGAATGGTTGAATATTCGAAACATGATTTAAAAACTTTGCCCTTTACATAACTCAGATAACACATAGTAGGGTCCAGTTCCAAGCCCAAACTATGGCCTGCCAGGTCATCACTTTGTCACCAGGATCATTAGGAGGTATGCAGATCAATGAGTCTTCACATATCCACACAAACAGTTGACACAGGCAACAAAAGTGTCATTTACTGATACTAAAGATGCAGGATATTTTAAGCACAGTATAGGAGTAGGTAAGAAGAAATAGAATATTTCCAACAAGTCACTGAAAAGATGTTCCATGTTATTCATAATAAAAATACAATTTTAAAATAATGAAATTTTTCTCATTAAAAATGTAATTGGAACATACTGGGTTTTTTTCCATTCCTACCAAATTTAAAAATGCACAAATGCATAAATGGTCTAGTAATTCCACCATTTGAAACCTATTCTCTTGAAATGCCAGTGTATATGTGCAATAACATTTATTGTAGCAATGTCTGTAAAAATAATTGCATTCAAACAAAATATCCACATTAATAGGAGATTAGTTAACAATTATGATGTAGCTATACCATAAAATATGATGTAATCTTTAAAAAGAATTAAGCTACCGTATATATAAATACTTGGAAATGGGTTTACCATATATTTTTTAAGTTTAAAAAGCAAGCTGTAAAGCAATTAGTTTGATTGCCTTAAAAAATGACGTGTGTGTGTGTGTGTGTGTCAGAGTAATGTAAATATGTATATACAAGGTATTCAAAGTATGTATGTATTACAAGTAAAGAAAAAGTTCAAAAGAATATACACCAACCTTATTAACATTGGCTATCTCTTGAGAATGGGATTATTTCTGTATTCTTTAAATTTTTTTAAGCATGTATCACATTTGTATTGCTATGTTTTCCATCCCTTGTAGAGTTTACTAAACAGAGGTTTTCTGCTTTTTCTTAATCCTCTTTATCCTCCTCCTCCACCTTCCCTCTTTTCTCTCCTACTTCTTCTTTTCCTTCTTCTCCTTCTCCTTCTTCTCCTTCTTCTTCTTCCTCTTCTTCTTACCCTCCTCCCCGTTTCTCCTCCTCCTGTCCTCTTTTCTCTCCTCCTAACGTCTCCTTCTCCTTCTCTTCCTTCCTGTTTTCTCTTCCCCCTCCTCTCCTTCCCCCTCCTTTTCCTCTTCCTCCTCTGCTTTCTCCTTTTTCCTTTAATTATTCAAATGAAGGAGCTGAGTCTTCAGGGGCAGGATCATACCTCGTTTACTGACTATACAACTGGTATTAAAAAAACAAAGTTCTGGGATATGCAAAAATAACATTTCTATCAGCTTAAGGTACACCCTCCCACTCCTTCGGTATAATGGACTCAAAACAATAATGGATCTTTTAATCCTTTCCGTGTCTATGGTCCTCTATCTCTTAACCAACTTTTCTCTCTTCCATGGCCCTCATTTCTCTGTTAGCTCTAAGGGCCACAAATTTGTTCTGTGCTACAGATTATCACAGACGATTAAGTTTGTTGTGAATCTAGAAGTCAGTAGGTAAGTGGAGGTTGGTGACAGAACACATGGTTTGTTCAGGATGCTCTTCTACCTGAGTGTAGTCATGCACACAGGAATGGACAAGGGCTCTTCGGTGCATTTGCCACGTTTAGTTCTCAGAGCAGAACTATGAAGTTCAGACTAACAGAGCTTTGGAGAATATGGAACAGATACAAGCTTTTTGTTTGTTTGTTTTGTTTTTTTTTTTTCATTATCATCTCACAAACAGGAGAATATAGTGGGCTCCAAGTCAACCAGCCAGGGTCATGACTACACCATACCCAATGTAAAACCCTGGGCAAGCTATTTAATCTTATAAATTTATTTTCAGATGTTATATTCCAAGAAAGTGTTTCTCAAACTTCAGCGAACAACATGTTAGTAAGTCTTAAAATCAATTTAGTGAGTAGTGATTAGCATTGGGGAACAACAGAATAAAGCAATAAAAATTTGTGAGAAACAGAGTATATTGCATAAAAAAGAGAGTACAAAACTAATATAAATATATATTACTTACTGTGGCCTAAGCTCAAATGAGTTTGAGAAACAATACATTTAATTAAGCAAATGTGACAGATTGAAAAGCCTCCCTTCACTGTCCTCTCAGTTCTATTCAGTTGACCCTTTCAGGTAAAGCAAGCAGAAGCTAAAGGGTTTTGGAAACATACTGTAATGATGGATCTTTTGAAAATGCATGAGAATGCTAGGCCGATGTGAGAAGCCAGGGCAATGATGAGAGACATACTTCCTTCAAAAAATGTCCTGGGGCTACTTCCATATATTTGATGCAATGGATGAAGATTTGTTAGAATTAGCAAGGCCTAAGGATTTGGTTTTTGGTTTTATTTGGAATTTTTGCTATTAATTCAAGTACAGTCATCACTCCGTATCTGTGAGTTCTGAAAAAAATGACTCAACCAACTTTGGATCAAAATGTTTGGGAGAAAAAAACAATTTTAGAATAGCACAACAAAATGTATATGAATGTAAAAGATACATTATAACCATGATTTACATGGTATTTACCTGTAAATAATGCATTAGATATTATAAGTAATCTAGACATTATTTAAAGCATATGGGAGGATATACATAGGTTATATGCAAATACTACCCCATTTTATATCAGGGACTTAAACATGAACAAATTTTGGTTTCCATTTGAGTCTTGGAACCAATTCCTTATGGATACCAAGGGACAACTCTACCAAGAACTGTGACCAAAGACCTTTGAGGTTCCTTTAATTTTCCAATCCTGTCATTTGAAATTCCTAGTCGTAGTAGGTAATATTTGGAACAAAATATTCCACTTCTTAGGTAAGTAAAGAAAAGTAAAAACATTTTGAATTTTCATTTTTCTAAAGCATTCACATAGTACTTTAATGTTTATGGATTTTCAAACGTCCATCTTTAGTACCTCTGCAAATATTTTGCTCTGAAAAAGTTATAGTAAGCAAACACTATGAAAATCAAACACAATCGTTGTTATATTTGAGAAAAACAGGTTTAGAACTAAAAAAAGGAAGTTTAGACCTATATTTTTAGAGAATTCATGCCAAAAAACTGAGTCATTATTAACCTGTAGAATCAACATTTTTCTTTATAAAATGCAATATTAGAAAGAACCTATAAATAACCGTTATTATATAACAGTATATATTACTGTTAGTTTAATTTGGTTAATACCAGATTGGTTATTTGGTATTTTCCTGCTATAATCATATGAGACATTCATTATAAGTACTTTCAGTTTCAACAGAACTAATGTTAATAAGAGAGGAAAATCAGAAAATATGACCTATACAACACTGCAATTCTTCTCTGTATCATGATTTCAGTTGAAATATATCAGTAGTGCTAATTATAGAAATTGTGGATATATCACAGAAAACACTGTTGAAATCAAAACCATACACTCTGAGTTGTATGTCTATTACTTAATACACAACAAATCACAATTTTTATCATATTTGGCTAATGTGCATCTCCTAAGTATCTGTAAGGAAAAACAGAAATATAAACGTGTAAAATGTGTATCTGTATATAGACACAGATACACAAATATAGCTGTAGGTATAGATCTATATCTGTCAAACATTTTCAATAAATATAAAGATTTGGTTTGCTATGAAACAGTAAATATCCATTATTTCCTTCTAGAAACAGTACCTGCAGATATGGTAGTTACAACTAGGGACCTAGGGGTAGGGGCCTGGGGAAGTTTAGGGACATAGATGGTTGCATGGTCTAACCCTGAAGATGGATAATAGAGAGGTTTTGAATTAGTACATAATCATATCCATAGGTTCTTTCCTTAAGACTCAGAAATGGTCCCTCTTGACCATTTGCTCACTTTGAGATGCTGAACAAATTATTTAAATTACTAAATATCAATTTTGTTGTCCCTAAATTAAATAATAACTTTGGAAAATACGTTTTCCATCTCATCATTTTAGGTTGATTAGCTGACGTGTTAAGGACCAAGGAAAGAAAAACTAAATTGAAGAGTGAATATATTGTACCTAGATTGGGACAGCCAATTATAGTAGGTTGTTAGAGTAATGTCCCTGATTAATCTGACCTTGAATATTCACATCCTTATGTATTCCACTCCCACAATGACTCTGAGGTTGATCATTGTGATTTGCTTGGTTCAGTGAAATATTTACAAATGTGACAGGAGCAGATAAAGATAGCTGCACAATGGGGTTTAGCCATTAGGAATTATTTTGCTGCCATGTAAGAGTTTTTGGCTATACTACTGAAGATGTCATATGGAAAAGAACCACACCATCCCAGCAAATGGTGTCTGCTAATACCACCTTGGACCAAACAGCCTCAGCAGAGCCTGTTGGTACCAGATGACAATAGGCACATGAGTGATCCCCAAAAAGACCATCAGAAGAGCCATCCAGCTAAGCCAAGTCCAATGTCCAGAATTGTGAGCAAATAAATGGTTATTGTTTGAAGTTATTGTTTTGTTACTTAGTATAGATACTTGTGGTTTGTTATGTAGCAATGGACACTTGATATATCCATTTATCTGACAGAATAAGTCTTCCATGCTTTTGATATTGAAATCAACAAATTAAGAGTGATCTATCACATAAATTTTTAAAATGTACTATATTCAGGTAAGTGAGTAAAATAGTAAATATGCAGAACACAATCAGAAAGCAAATTTTCAAATGCAATAGCAAACACAAAAATGTCTGTGCCATGCTGGATTACCACTTTGTACTGTACAGGGAAAAACAAAATAGATAGATAGATAGATAGACAGATAGATAGATAGATAGATAGACAGACAGACAGACAGACAGACAGACAGACAGACAGATAGATAGATAGATAGATAGATAGATAGACAGACAGACAGATAGATAGATAGATAGACAGACAGACAGATAGATTATTTTAGTCGGGGAACTTACTGAAACATGATTTTCTATGAAGCATGTGCTGGAAAATCTTGCACAAAGATTCCTCACTTTGTGTAATGGTCCTACAGTTACATTGCACTTGAAGGACTGTCCCAAGGATATCTATGTAAGCAGCTTTGCAGTCATCACTTCCTGAACATGTGAGGTCCTGTTTGCTTAAGGCGCTAATGCAATTCTCATCTTCATGGCACTTTCTAGTCACACGCTGCCAGCATTTTGACTGAAATGTTCTATAGTGCCTCCTAGACAAAGAATGAGGAAAAATAATTAGTTTTGAATAATATTATTTCACATTAACATGTGATCCTCCATCACCTAATGAAAGACATGGAACACAATGCCTCCAAGATGCTAGTACATAGTTGAAAAGTAAATTTGTAATTTGAAAAATCACCATAGGGAGTGTGAAAGAAACTGTAATCTTGTGAATTACATCCCTTTATTGTGATGAAAGACAAAGGCTAAGTTGAGGATTCCCTGGATGGATTTCCCTTTATTACTAATTGTATTCCAATATATGATGATTTGAGGTATGAACTACTTCAGAGATTTCTTGGCAATGTTTTATTCTGAATATAGTTTTGTGGCTAGCCTTTGGCCACTGTGTCACACCAAGTGATTTCAAATAAGATACTTGACCTTTCAAGTCAGTTATCCCACAGGATGGGAGGTGCTTTATACTTTCTTAATGGATTAAGCAGACTAATTAGAATTTGCAATATGTTGTGAGGTATAAGATTTCTGACTATATATTTGATTATTGGTATAATAAAATTTTTTTTAAGTCTGGATAATGTACACTAATTTCATTTTTGAATTTTTTTACAATCAGAATATATTTTCATTAATGGATGTAAGAATGAAAATCTTTCAATTTAATCTTTGTCACCTAAAATTGCTTTTTACTCTTTCTTGAATAGGTTGCCATCAAACATGTATCAAAGCCCTATGAGTACATGACATTTTCATGAAGTTATTTGTCCACACGGATGCTGCTATGTTAAAAAACCAAAGCTCAGTTGTTTTTAATAACTGAATATTTAAGTCATCTTAAAGGATAAGCTTTTAAATATACTATTGAAGATTAATTCATGTACATTAAATTTATAATAAGGGAAATACTGCAGATTTTCTGAACATATAATTATTAGGCCAGAAGAACAAACATTCCTTCAATGCAGTTAAGGGTTACATATAACATATATCCTAAATGTAAGTTTTGGAAATATTGATTGTCGCTTAGATAGAGAATATATCTGTACCTATATGCTATTTGTTAATTTTAAATATGTGTTTTACTAAGTTTAAATTGCATGATTTATCTACTTACAGATAAGTAGATACATTTTCACTCAGAAAAAATGCCATGAAATTTTGCCAAAATGATGAACTAAACAATATTTAATTAAAAATAATATACTACTTTGGTACACTGTATTCCGAAACCATTTGAAATATAAATGGACTAAAGTCTCCAATTAAAAGACATAGTATGGCTGAATGGATTAAATGGATGAAAAATAAAATGAGCCAATGATCTCTTATCTCTAAGAAGCATAAAAAAACTATAAAGAAACACATAGAGTGAAAATAAAGGGATAAAAAAAGATATTCTATGCCAATGGAATCAAAAAAAGAAGCAAGAGTAGCTATATTTTTGTTAGACAAAATAGAATTCAAGACAAAAACTATAAAAAGAGATAAAGAAGGTAATTATGTAATGATAACAATTCAATTCAGCAAGAGGATATAACAATTGTAAATATATATGCACCCAACACTGCAGTACCTAGACATGTAAAGCAAATACTATTAGAGCTAAAGAGAGAGACTTCAACATCTCACTTCCAGCATTGGACAGATCATTCAAACAGAAAATCAACAAAGAAACATCAGACTTAATCTGCACTACAAGATAAAATAGACCTAATAGATATTTACAGGACACTTCATAAAATAGCTGAAGAATACACATTATTCTCCTCAGCACGCAGATCGTTCTCAATGATAACCCATATATTAGCTAACAAAGCAAGTCTTAAAATTTTCAAAAAATTGATATCATATCAAGTTTTTTCTCTGATGACAATGGAATAAAACTAGAAATCAATAACAAGCGGAACTTTGAAAACTATACAAATACAGGGAAATTAAACAATATGCTCCTGATTGACCAGTGTGCAAATAAAGAAATTAAGAACAAAATTTAGAAGTTTATTAAAACAATGAAAATGGAAGCACAACATATCAAAACCTATGGGATACGACAAAAGTAGTATTAAGAGGAAAGTTTATAGCAATAAGCACCTACATCAAAAAAGTAGAAAAACTTCAAATAAACAAATTAGCAATGCATCTTAAAGAACTAGAAAGTCAAGAGCAAATTGAACCCAAAATTAATAGTAGAAAATAAATATGAATAAATATCAGAGCAGAAATAAATGCAAGTGAAACAAAAAAAATTCAAAAGGTTAACAAAATGAAACGTTGGTCTTTTGGAAAGATAAAATCTCAAACCATAAGCCAGACTAATAAAAAGAGACAGAAAACCCAAATAAAAGAAATCAGTGATTAAAAGGGAAACATTACAACTGATGCCACAGAAATTCAAAGGATCATTAGAGACTACTATGAGCAAATATATGCCAATACATCAGAAAATCTAAAATGGATACATGAATAAATTTGTAGACACATACAACGTAGCAAGCTTGAACCACGAAGAAATCCAAATACTGAACAGACCAATAACAAGTAATGAGATCGAAGCTATAATAGAAAGTCTCCCAGCAAGGGAAAACCTAGGACCTGATGCTGAATTTCACCAAACACTTAGAGAAGAACTAATACCAATTCCACTCAAAATATTTCCAACAATAGAGGAGGGAATACTTCCAAACTCATTCTATCAGGCCAGTATCACCCTAATACCAAAACCAGATGAGACATATAAGGAAAGTAAACTATAGGTCAATTTTCCTGAAGAACATTAATGCAAAAATCCTCAACAAAATCCTAGCAAACCAAATTCAACAACACATTAAGATTTTTCATCATGACCACGTGAGATTTTTCCTAGTGATGCAAGGATGGTTCAATACATGCAAATCAATCAGTTTGATACATCATATCAACAAAATGGAGGACATAAAAGATATGATCAATTGATGCTGAAAAAGCATTTGATAAAGTTCTACATTCCTTCATGATAAAAGCCTCAAAACCTGGGTATAGAAGGAATATACCTCCACAGAATAAATGCCATATATGACACACCAGACCAATAGTTAGTATCACATGGAATGGGGAAGAACTGCAAGCTTTTCCTCCAAGATCTGTAATGAGACAAGGATGCCTACTTTCATCACTGCTATTCAACATAGTACTGGAAGTCCTAGCTGAGCAATTAGACAAGAGAAGGGGAAAAAAAGGCAGGGGGCGGGGGAGTATCCAAATTAGAAAGGTAGAAAAAGTATCCTTGTTTGCAGATTATATAATTTTATATTTGAAAAGACCCAAAGACTCCACCAAAGAACTCTTCGAACTGATCAACAAATTCAGTAAATCTGTAAGATATAAAATTAACATACAAAAATCAGTAGCATTTCTATATGCCAACAGCAAACAATCTGAAAAACAAATCTTCAAAGTAGTCCCATTTATGATAACTACAAATAAAATAAGACACTCGGAATATGTCTAAATGTCCAAAAAAGACTAAGCAAATTAATTAAGCTACATTCATGCAATGGCACACTCTATAGCTATTCAAACATTTAAGAATTTTCTTTTTTTAAATTTTTCTAAGAAAAGTGGGACAGATGTGCAGAACGGGCAGGTTTATTACATAGGTATGCATGAGCCATGGTTGTTTGCTGCACCTATTGACTCGACCTCTAAGTTCCTTCCCCTCCCCGCCTACTCCCCAACAGACCCAGATGTGTGAATTTTCTTATATGCAATTATGGAAAGACCTTTAATCCACATTTAGGGAAAACTAACAAAAATAATATATAGAGAAGGATACCATATAGTGCCATCTGTTTTAAATCAATTAAATAAAAATACATGCATATTTTAAAGTATTTAGAATATTTTCTAAGCAAATACCTTGTCATTACTTTTTTAAGTTAATATATAAAAATACAATGTATTATAATTTTCCATAAATACCCAGACTTTTGTGAAATTGGCAAGACATAATCTCACCTCCCAGAGGGTATCTGTACTAGAGAAAATTAATTGAGAAATGGCCCTTAAATTGTCCTCTTTGGCTTTTAAAAAATAAAGGAATTTCAAAACCCATCGTGAATTGAAAAATCTGGAACAGGGACAGAAACTGTATTTTAAAACTGAAGTGCCCTGTTTTGCCTATGTACAGGCTCTTCTGCAAAAAAGGTAAGTATCATAAAGGGCTTAATATTCTCATTGAAGAAGTGGTTTTCCACTTGGAGATTTGTTTTTCATCTGAATTACATTAACAATAATTTAATATAAATGCTGGACATCTCCCTAAGGCAAAATTTCCTCAGGAAAATGATAGGATTTGTCTTTTCACATTGACTACTAATATTATATAACATTTCCATCACCTCTATAAAGTACTCATTAAGGGACTATTTGCACATAGTGAAAGGAAATTGAAGACACACAGTCCTTACGCTTGAACTAATCTAAGACAGAAATTACATGAGAAGAAATACGTATATGTATATTACAATATAAAAATTACGTGTACAATATTCCAAAGTGAGAGGAAGGGAGATGACGTTTTTTGAGTGCTTATCCCACTCCAGACCCTACACCAAACATTTTGAGAAGGTGGTTAAACCCGGGAGTCCTTGTTGAGGAAAATCATCAACTCTGTGCCAGTCCATCTGAGAAGGTGTTGATACCAAGGGGAGGTTAGTGTAAGAGTGTGTGCTTCAGAGTCTATCACAGGAAGTCTCAAGGACTGTAGCAGCAGAGCCATCACTTGCTATTAAAATATTTTATTTGATGTGGATGCTCAGAAATACCATGCTTTGAAGGTTGAATGCTAATGGCTTCCAGATAATTAGATAGCACCTCTAAAGCCCTGGCACTGGAATTAGGCAAAGCTGGGAACCCACCTGTGAATAAATCTGATATTTTTATAGTGATTGTTATTGAAACAATGGTGTCCCCTGGCCCTGGCTGGTTAAAATATTATTAGGTTTCATCGTTGATGTAGGAATGTGATAGTTAGAAAGGCAGAATAGTAATAGTTTTAGTTCATTTGATGTGAGAAAAGTAGTGTGCTCAAACGTGTTTACCATATTTCATTAATTTCAGAAGATACCATAATTTATGTACAACAACAATAACAACAAAAAACACCTGTGGGGACTTAAATTATGACAAATATCTTTGTCATTAACCTTAAAAAATTATTTCAAATACGTCAGGGATGTTAAAATATGTAAAAAGAAATCGCATCTTAGAATCAATGAAATATAGTATTTCTCTAATAAGGATTTTTGAGATGATAAATGAGTTGAAAAACCTAAATTGCATTATAAAAAGTATTTTGTCACTGCCTTTATTGTTCACTCAAGAAAAATAAATAATAAGCCTTAAAATAACTGACACACATTTGCATGAAAAATTCTCAAATACTATTTTAAGAACTTTGATATCCTATGTAATAAGTTGACGAAATATGTCAATGCTCTAGAACTCTGCTTAGCTCTTTATCACTTATTTCATAGAATGTGTGCTATGGGGAAGCAGTTCTTTTTAACAAATATTTACAAGATCTGGAACTACTTTGCAAGTTACAGTGACTGAGAATAAGAGTAGACATAGTTAAAAAGCTAAAAAAAAGAATTTTACTAAGAATCTTCAGGAAGTTGGTATCATTACTTTTTTGTTTTTTTGCCAGCGGTTGAAACAAGGGGACAAATATGACAAATCACACACTAAGCCACCTATATGTCCGAAGTCCTAGGCAGTGTCCCTCAAGCCCTTATATGATATAGGACTGTTCACACCCACTCAATTAAATCTCTCATCTCGTCCCTATTTCTCTCCCCTTTGCACATTCTACCCTCACTGCTTTTCTAACATGCCACATACATGTTTTCCTAAGCTGGCTCGTCAGTTTGCTTAGTATCTCCTCTCTCAGTATCTACTGAGAGAGGCCCATTTTCTCACTTCAGCTATGGTAAAATGCTTCCTGTTGGGGCCACCCCGTTTACCCTGCAACTCTTTCAGCCCATTCACAATCCCTTTTATTCTGTTCTTTTTTAATCTCCAGAGCACTCATTGCCTTAAAACAACATACACATTTTTAATTTAATATTTGTCTTCTCTCTGGACTATTAAGATCCATAGACATTTGTTTCTCTTATTCACCATTGCCTAGAGTAGTAGTAGGTGCTTGGTTACCCTTTGTTGAATTAATAAATAAATGAATAACATTACTCCCCCAAGAATCAAAGGTGTGAGGTTGGAAAGAGGAGAATGAATACATTTCTATGATCATGGCATACATGTGTGCTAGGGATGTCCAAATGCTATTTGTATACAGCATCCTTGACATAAGTAACTCCAAAAAAGACTCTATCTTAGATTTCATAGGGTGCTTTTCCAACAGGGACAAAATATTTTGTTAAATAAACAAGACTGCATCCAACCAGATAAGGACATAAACAAGTATACTCTTCCACTATCAGTCCTCTCAAGAGGACTCCGTGGCCATAAATAGAGTAGGACTTCAGCAGCTCAAAATGGCTATCTTACCTGACACCGTCTTGCTATCACTCATGATAAGCACCCAGCATCTGCTGCCAACAATTCTCCCAACATCGAAGACTCTTCCTTGCAAGACTGATGGACAGCCCAGATAAGACCAGAGGAATCTTTGTTTTTGTCACTCTTCCTGGACTCGTTCCTTAACCCTTTTTGCTATCCCTTTTCTCTTAATGTTAAATGTTACTTTGTTGTGGAATGTTTAACCTATAACCCTTATATATCGATTAAGTACACTATTATGTATGCTTTGCAATACTGACTGATTTGTGGAGTGGCTTCAGTCTGTGTACCCATGGCTCTGAAAACAAAGTGAATGAGAAGTACTAAGGAGAATTGCCTCCTTGGGAACTCCATGTAGCTCATGACTTTTGGGACTGAACAGTATTAAAGCCTGACATTGTGAAAAGACATAAATGTGTGTAGACCTGGTTATCTCTGACCTTGCACCACTCATGTGAGTATTTAAGCTACCTTCTTCTTCCTGATCTCCAGCCTAAGACAGAAATAATTTATTTCAAAGTTTGAAGAGTCTCCTTGCCAAAATAATAAATTTGTAACAGCCTTATATAATTAAACAAAAAACATTAAAAGGCTGATATATAAATCAGGTCTATTAACTCATTCATTAGACTAACCTGAATACATAATTTTTATAATACTATTTCATGGCTACCATATTTTGACATGCTGATTTTTTATTTCAAAAATCTATTCTGCATTTGAATTTCAAAGACGATACTGCACATGTACCACAGATTCAAAAAAATATGAATTGTCTGGCTTTATTTACACCATGTTGGATGATGGTGGGAACTCTAGCTAATGTAATGAGATCAAGTGTTAGGACTGGACTGTAACAAATAAGGTGCCGAAATAAGAAAGTAATGGATGAGTGTTTTTACCCACCTGCATAATTCATCATTTTGGCAGCTGCGAATTACATTGAGGCAAGTAGGGGGTGGAACCATGTTCAGTGCACATGGCTTGCTGTGAAGAGCTTCTTTGGACTGCTGACAAGGTATATCAGATTGAGAACAGTCACAAAAAGCCAACATCTGGGCAATGTTAAAAGGTATATTTTGATAGAAGAACCGTATGGCTGCTTGGCAGTGTTTCACATCACACGGATTTCCATTTGCTGAGCAAGCTTTAAGGTAAGAGGCCAACTGTGCATTACAGACCACATCCCCTACACATGCCTCTGCCACTTCCAAACAGGACCACATCCCTTTGAATCCTGAAAGCAATGATATGCCCAGGTCGTGGAAAAGTAAACACAAAGCTGTACATACAGAATCTGTAAAACACTGTGAGAAGTCTATGAGCAAAATACAATGATGTACCAATGTCCTATTTTTGGCAAACATTACATCTTTTAGAGTAAGTATGAATTTACTGAGACCTAAAGAGTAGACTTATTGGAATCATCTTTCATCTATACAGGATACACATTGTTATCTAGAGTGATGGGAAGTGTGCAGGGCCAAAATTGAGCTGAAGGAAAAATCTCCCAGTCCAGGGTTTTCAAATGCAAATAATAAATCTTCAGAAATTGCATTTGAACTATATAGCTTACGGTTAGCTCATTGGCTCAAGGTAAAATGATTCTTCTTCTGCTTCACGTTTTTGTGAGGGGAATCTTGAATAAAGGTTCCACATAGTTATTCTAGCATACGTAAATGTTTATATTCCTACAGAAACACAATTACACACAAAAACAGTTGGTGCCAAATAACTTATATGATCACAAATATCCATGAAATGTAATCAATATCTACTATTTGGGTTTTTGTTTGTTTCATTTTTGAGACAGGGTCTTGCTGTATAGTGGCGTGATCCCAGCTCACTGCCACCTCCATCTCCTGGGCTCAAGTGATTCTCCTGCCTCAGCCTCCCAATGAGCTGCGATCACAGCCACATGCCCCCATGCCCAGCTAAGTTTTGATTTTTGTTTTTGTTTTGTTTTTGCAAAGACAGGGTTTTGCCATGTTGTCCAGGCCGGTCTCAAACTCCTGAGCTCAAACGATCCACCTACCTCAGTCTCCCAAAGTGCTGGGACTATAGGTGTGAGCCACTGCGCCCAACCTGGTATTTGGTTTTAATTATTAAATATTTCTCAGCACATGTATACATTGATAACGGAGGGGCAAAGTAGTTGCTTCAATGGATCACTAGTAAAAGAAATGAAATGACTTGGTTGCATTTTATTATATTAGAACTGTTAAACAACGTAATTTATTTTGTATTGGCCTATCTTTAGGAAGCCTGGTAACTACCTTTTAAATTATATTATCAGGTATTTGCAATGCAGATCAAAATCATAACTTATCAACATTACCATGATGGGAATGTGTAGTTAGATTCCATTTGAATTTATCCTCTTTCATGTTATCTAGAAGGAAAACAAAGAAACTATTTTATTATTGAACAATTTTCTGAATTTCCTAGGAATATGTGAGCCACATTTATAAATGAGTAAAGTCCACATATATTCAAGCAAAAGTACATACAACGTTATGTAACATGTATTTAGCCTTTGATATTCAAAATTAGTGTGGTATAGATGAAGAAAATAAGCCCCTGAAATATCATTCAAGTGAGCTAAACAGCCCTGCTTTGAGGATTCAGTTACTTGAAGACTTAAATAAATGCTAGTGACTAGACTGCATGCATGGAGTAAACAAACACTGGGTGCTGACTGAGGGGGGAAAAAAAAGAAAAAACAGAAGGAATATTTTCTGAACACCACCTCTCACCACAGTCCAGTATAGAAACCCTTCTCAGTAGGGTCTTCATTAATTTGAAATGCAATTTTAAACCCAGTTTCACCTCTGATTATCTTATCCTCCACGAGTTCTTAGAAATTATAATTATAGTATTGAAAAATCTCATTAATGAAAATGAATGTTCAGCTGATTCCAAAATCTTTAAAGGAACATTGGTTGGTTCCCTACTATGTACCAGGTGACAAACTGAGGATGTAAATCTGCAGTTCCTGTCATCGAGCATCCCACAGCCTAGAAGGAAATACAGACATACAAAACAAAGCCAAAAGAAACTAAAAGGAGCACTAATGTATCCATAACGTGGCAGGGGAATCAGATGATAGGATTTTCATTTTGAAATGAAAATTATTATTTTTTCATTGGATATTAAGATACTAACTTTTGTTATGGCATTAATGCTCCTTCATGATTCAGTATGTCCTAATCTGAGCTGTTTGTTCATATTTCCTGCCTTCTAGTCTAGTGCATATATAAGATGGTACTATCGCAGGAAGCTTACTTCTACCCTCAGGTGTGTCACGGCCTTCCAGACTCCTTATATTGTCCAAGCTATTCTCACTGTGCATGGTTTTCGTTTTCTTAATTGATCAAGTCTCAGCTTGAGAACCACTCTTCTTCTTGATCCCACCCATCATCCTACCTCTCTGAGGAAGATCTGGAGGTTCCAACTTCTGTGCTACTATTCCATATCTAATAAAATCCCAATAAACAGATCCCAGGGAGTCATATAGTTTTTGTAACAGGTACAAAAGTCTAGGCTAGACATTCTTTTATGGATTAACACCTCTGCATTGGGACTGATTGGTAAGGCTGTGCCACTGACAAAAATATATTCAAGAAGCTGCTGTGTAGACATAAACAAACAGCAGCTTCACTAACTGTTATTAACTGAATGTTTTTCCCATTACCTCTAAATTTATATTTTAGAGCCGTAATCTCCCTGTGCAGTTGTGGAGTGATGGTGTCTTTAGGTTAAATGAAGTCATAAGAGTGCGGCCCTTATCAAATAGGATTAGTGTCCATATCAGAAGACTTCAGGGAGGTAGCTGTCTATCTCCCCTGGAGCACTCACTGAGGAAAGGTCCTGAGAACACAGGGAGAGGGTGGCTGGCTATCTACAAGCTAGTAAAAGAGGACTCCTAGCCAGGAACAGATCCTAGGGACTTTTATCTGAGATTTTTCATACTCCAGAACTGGGGAAAAATACAATTTTTGCTTTTTAAGCCACCCAGCCTGTACTATTTTGTTACGGCAGCCAGAGCAGTCTAATTTACTTACCAGATGAGTACTTGTTATCAACACAACAAAACAGTTATTTTTAGTGTCTGAAAATAAAGTGCTTCTTAGAAGGTATTATAATACTTATACATTAAATGCTAATTTTATATGAAATTAACATTTATACATTAAATATAAAGCTAGCATTTACACACACACACACACACACACACACACTTTTTCCCAGAGGGTATTTTAAACAGTGGCTTTTACTGAAAGAGGAGTTGAAGGTCAGTATGTTTTAGAAACAAATAAAATTATTCACTAACAAGACCTACATGTGAGTTATAAAATCCTATACAATTCATCAGAAAATACCCAACAATCCCTAAAATATGCTAATATCTAATATTAGAATCAGAAGTACTTCCATGTATCTTCTTTTTCTTAACATGATAGTATCAGAAACTAAACTCTTGTAAATATTTTGATTTATATTTTATAATCTGATAAACATGCTTACAATAAACTAGTAGACAAACATGTTTCTATAAAATGACTAGTTGAATTAAATGCAACCAATATTTCTTTTTTAGGGAGTATTTGGCAACATTTAAAGCAAAAGCAAAAGCAAAAGAAGATCCTCAGAGGAGACTGAGAAGAATCATCCATGGAAGCAAGAAGAAAAACAGAAGAATGTAATATCTGGGAGCCTAGCTTTTCTCTAGCTTCATTTCCCTGTAGCTCTTGCTAATGAATGCTGCCCATTTCCCATATAGAACATACCACGATATCATTAGAATGTGTTTACATCTACTTTGCTAGCTTTATAGCTTCCAAAATATTAATTACTCATTCTTATAAAACATTTATCCTTCTTTGAATTTTATGCTATCTGGTTGTGCCTCCCTCTTTTCTCTTGTCAAATATTAACCTCAAAGTATTGCCCTGATATTCAGCATTGACTCAGGTACTGTCTCAATATTTTCCTCTACCTCAGATCTTGTCATTGTGCTAAGTTACCTCTATGCCTTTTGGAAAAAGAACCATTTTCCACCCTTAATTCACAATTCCTTAACCATTGCCCTCATGACCTTCACCGACACTCCAACTACGCCACACCAATGATCAACTTCTAGACCTGACATTGACATGAAGTTCTCTCTCTTTCAATTGCAAATATTAATTATCTTACTGGCTTCCAAAGCTTCACATTCTTGATTACTTCAAGTGCATATATACCTCCGGAACTTTCATCTTTTCATTCACTCCCAATCTTAGCATCATCTCCTGGATTCACAGACTTTTTCCAGCCTAGATCACTCACCCTAATAAAGGAACAGTTTCTTGTTACTGTCATTCCGTCCTTACTTCTTTTACTTTCTAGTGATTCTCTATAAAACTCCAACCCTATAAAATTTTGCTGTGTGGCTTTTCTGCTCATTTATACTGTTTTTTTTTTTCTCACAGTAAAGTCACACTACCATCCTAACTAGTATCACAACAAATTAAAAAAATAATTACCAGCAATTTTTCTTCTAATGTGTACAATTTCAGATGTCACCAGACATTACGCATTTACATCAAGCTGCATATCCTACCATTTCCTTCATCATTCTCATAACATGACCTTGACTCTCATATTAGCAGAAGCTTCAACTGGGAATCCCTTTATGCTGGAGGACAATGCTGGGAAAATGGCATGTGGGATCCATGAGATCAGGGACTATATCTTTTTATCTTACATTTCTACTCAATATTATTCAATAAACATATTTGAATAAATATTGAATATTATTCACCATTTAACCCTGCATAATCAATTGTATCACCCTTTCTAAATCATTCCCATTCTCATACAGAACTTTTTTTTCCATCTTCTGGGGAGAAAGCCCTCTTTTTACCTCACTTATTTATCCAAGCACTGCCCTATTTCCTGTCTTCCTTAACAACAATCTTTCAAAGTGCAGTCCGTATTTTCTGGCTCCAATTTCTCTCTTCCTATCCCCTTATGTACTCTCCAAACTCCACCTCTAATCCTGCCATTGTGCTTACCACGCCACAGATACTGTTCTTATCCAGTTCATAACCTCCACACTGGCAAATGCAATAGCTGATTTCTGATTCTGAAGTCTCTACCAAATCATTTGATCTTCTTAAACTTTCACCCTTCCTTGAAACTCTTTCTTCGTTTTTCTTTTGGATGCAATACTTTCCTAATTTGCTCTTTCTGGCAGTTCCTTATCGTTTTTCATTGCTGATTCCTTCCTCTTCTCTCACACTAGTAAATGTTGAAGTATCTCATAGACTAGTCCATGGACATCATTCATTTCCTCTTTTATTGACCCACTGGTAACAAAATATATCCAGAATCTGTTATCATCTCACCCTGCTACCACTCTGGTCCAAGACACCATTAATTTCATTGTTAATCTCAACATAAAACAAGGTCCTGATTGAATTCATCTTAGTCGTCAAGGAAGGCTGGAATCTCATTCATTTGAGCATCCTGTATACAAATTTCTTCAAACATTCCCAAATGCAGTCTACTTTAGAGGAATCACTGCATTAACAATTCCTCAAAGCAATTTCTTTCAGGCTTTTTCTTAATACTGCACACATTTGGCCTTCATCAAGGGTCTTTGATTGTTCTGTTTCTCTCTCACAGGTTTTCCTAATATTCTCTTACAACAAAGTAAAATGTTCAGATTCCTGACAGACATGTACTGCTATTGCAGTCACTCTTTACTTCAGCTATTAATGGTGTATCTTTCTTATGGAACTATTGTGTGATATTTGTGAAGTCAAATCTGAGGACAGGGCTGATTCTCCTACAAATAGAGTAAGGTTGACTAAAAATTAAATAAATGAATTTACTTAAGATTTTTTAATATGTTTTCAAAAGTGTATAGACATATTTTTATAAATATTCCAATATCTGTTATTTTTCAAAAACCATTTAAAGTTATTTCAAGAGAGCTATTACAAATGATCTTGCATTTTTAAAAACTGACATGTAAAAAAAACACTACAGTTTATAGAACCACATGTTAATGTTCAATTTCTTTTAGTGATATTTTTCTTCATCACTTTTGCTTTTCATTTCATTTGATGTTTTTTATATATTCTCCAGGGTTTACACATAAATATTTCATGCATGGACACATGATTTAGATGCTCAAAATATGTTTAATTAATGAAAAACACTGACATTGTATATTTACTAATCATTTGCTAAGTGTCAGGCATTATGCTAGGTGCTTTAGCATATTTTTAAAAAGAAATAACAAAACTGATTTTCTTGAGAATAGAAAAGTGCATGTCTGTGTACTCTGGAGAATATTTTGGGAATGCAAAGCAGGGAGAGAAAATCATTTTATTGAAGTGA